CCTTAGAGTTCCTTCCAGTGCCTAAAGTGTCTCCAAGAGAGCTGCAGATGGGCTTGGGACAAAGGCCTGGAGGGACAGGACACAGGGAATGGCTTCCCAGTGCCAGAGGGCAGGGACAGATGGATACTGGGGAGGAACTCTTGGCTGTGAGAGTGGTGAAGCACTGGCACTGGCTGCCCAAAGCAGCTGTGGCTGCTCCATCCCTGGGAGTTTTGCAGGTCAGGCTGGATGGGGCTTGGAGCAACCTGGGCTAGTGGAAAGTGTCCCTGCCCATGGCAGGGGATGGACCAAGGTGATCTTTAAGGTCGTTCCAACTCAAACTAGTCTGTGATTCTATGACTGCCGAGTGTTATGAAGTATAAAGCACCTTAACCCTTCTCTAGGCTGAGCTCACCACATTATTTCACAGAGGCAAAGCACAATTTCATAAGCTCCTTTTGAGGTACTTTCAGGATTTCTGGATGGAAAGCACCAGAAGTGCTCACAGTGTACAAAGAATCGTGTTGGTGTGACAAAGCAGTAAGCAGGAATATTGATTCTGAGCAATGTGTGACCATGTGAACACTTAAACACAAGGCTCATTTCTGAGCTGGAATGAGCACCTAGAGCACACCAACCAACTCCACACTGAAGATGGGAAATACCTTTTCCATGAATGGTCCACTTGACACTATTGGTTAAAGTCCAGTCATGGAAAATAAAATGGGATAAGGAAGAGTAACTTGTGTGTATTGTTGCAAACAAGAAAATACACTTGATCTGATGAAAAAACCCAACTTAGCCTCCTGTAACCAGATTTAAGCACAGCCACAGCACACTCGTTTTATTTGCCACTTCTCACACCTGAGGGATGATGATAAACCTGTAGAACTACAGTTCCACTGATCAGTGAATTCCATTTTCATGCATTGCTGCCCAGCACACCTCAATTTCACTCATTTCCCTTAAGATGCTCACAGACATGCCAAGCCTCTCATGCAGTTAAAAAAATATCTTTTTTAAAGCTGCAGAGAAGTTTTCATCATTTGCCACAAAAGTTCATGCTGGCCTCAACAGACAGGGAAACCTAAGATAGAGCAGAAAACCTTCATCAATGAATTCTGCAGTACTGAGCAATAACAGAGGTATGGATTTTGGGTCTAAAATTAAGTTGCCAGCTTAAAGGACTTAACACACACTTAATTTTACTGGAAGGTAGCACCAAATCCCCATGTAAGCTTTGAAAGTCTTACCCTGCCCCAGTCTAACCATGCTCAGAGCACCAAAGCCACCAAAAGATTAATGCTACTCCATATATAATGTAGTCAATAGAGAAAAATCTACAATTCCTACATAAATTAAGCCTAAACAGCCCCAGAGGAGTCTTCCAGTAGGAGTGATACACAAGGGATGTTACTGGGGTGATGCACTGTGCATATCTTACAGGCTACTTCATTTTTTCAGCTTATTATCATTTATTCAAGGCTTATCATTACTACAGGCTACTATCAGTTATTCGAGGCTTTCCCCCTCTGATTCACGTGGTCTCTTCACAGCTACACAGACCAAAGCTCACATGTGCTCACAGAGACGTGCCAAGGTAAGATAGGAGCACCCAGTATAAAAACTGACCCCTAAGAAACAGGTCACTGAGGGTCATCTTGCTTTCCCTGCAAGGCAAGTGCATGCAGGTGTATTGAACTGGCTTGGGCATGTTTGCATGTGCTGCTAATCCATATGGCAAAAGTGAAATGACAAATGTCCATGGATTTTGTGAGAGGTAAGAAGAATCTCAGCTCTGTGGCCTCCCATTGCTCTAGATATGCAGAAATTAAAGGAAACACCATTAAAACCTCTCCCATTTTTAAGCTGCAGATACAAACCAATTAGACAGACATTTCTGCTCTAAATAAATGACACTGATTGTACTTTTTGCTGTTTCTCTCCTCCTCTCCCTCTTAAAGCTCTATATCTGATGACTACAGATGACAATTAAATCCCTACAAAGGGTTAACATCCTTCACTCAGGGTTTCTCAGAAGGAAACTTTGCTGATATTTCCAAGTCCAGCTGGTTTCAGCCTCTGCCCTGCTCTAGTAAAACTGACATAAAACCACTCTCCACACTTACTTCATCCCTGTAAAGAGGACTTGTGTAATACATGATGTCCATGGCGCTGCTGTTCAGCATATCCCGTAAACCTCGAACCTTATCTGGAGTGATGGAGTCCACAGTGTCTGGAAAACAAAGGAGACTTAAATAACTCAGAGGAGAATGATAAAACAGAATGCCAGACTGGTTTGGGTTGGAAGAGAGCTTAAAGATCATCTCATTCCACCACCTGCCATGGGTAGGGACACCTCCCACTGACCCAGGTTGCTCCCCATCCAACCCAACCTGGCCTGGAACACTCCCAGGGATGGAGCAGCCACAGCTGGTTTTTGGCAACCTGTGCCAGAGCTTCAGCACCCTCACAGTCAACAATTCCTTCCCAATATCCCATCTAACTCTGCCCTCTGTCAATTTGAAGCCATTCCCCCTTGTCCCATCACTCCAGGCCCTTGTCCAAAGTCCTTCTCCAGGTGGAGAGTTTGTGTGCAAACAAAACCAAACAAAAATCCAAGCAAGGCTCATGCAGAGAACATGGGATGAAACCTCTAAGGGGAATTCTGCAGCCTGCAGCTACTGGAACAGCAAGAGAGCTAAGTAACATACCTCCATCGAGGGTCAATTTTGACCTCCATTCAACTGGAAGAAATTCTACATGTGTTGCAAGATTGGAGAAATACTTTTCTTCTACTTTTCTTGCAGTATCTCTCATCCTGTGAAAGAGAAAGGAACATGTTCCTGTGAAGACTCCTGTGGGTGCTCTTGGCAAACAAACCAACACATCCAGCAACAACACATTCCCTGCATTACTCCTTTCCAATCCTTACTATCACAGGTCATTACCTCAACCTCAGTCTTTTGTTATAAAGTACTTAAACTCTCATATAATGAAAATTTCTGTGTATTGCATGCTCAAAAGAGTTGAAATGTATTCCCCTATGGGCTTAACATAAGCCACCTAAATTCAGTTCAAAGGAATCCACTCAACTATTTGACCAGTCTGAAACTAACCATTCAAGCAGTCTGAAATCAACCTTTTAACTAGTATACAAGGAAGGCAATTCATTGCTTTTAAACAAACAAAGAAAGCTTGTAAAAATATGGCTTGAAAAAGCAGAATATGCTTTTAATTTTACATATTGAACTGGAAGCCTTGAGAGATCTCAGAGTGAGAAACAGGATCACTTATCAGTGTTTCAACTTGGAAGAGCAAGAGAGGCTAACTCTCCTTTTGAAAGACTCTTCATTTTTACAGCATATCTGAACATTGATGCAACTCTCAGGGGATGAGAAAATCTTAAAATACCTAAAACCCAAAGTATATCTGACCTGAAAAGGAAAAATGCTATGTTACACTCTTTAAAAATGTACTTTACTGGTGTGTGAAAAATCCATCGGTAAAAAAGGAAAACTAGTATGAAATCATACAAGATATTAAATGTCCATATATTTTATCACAATCATTCAGTAACTAAACTTGTATTTTCCTTTCTCTCTTTTACATGACTCAAACACAACAAACTTAATCCAAGCAAGAGGCAGCAGTGCTGGTTTCCAGCAGTTAGTTCCCAGTTCCAAGCATCAGAGGGTTTTTGAGTTTCCAAGGGTTTTTCCCCCTTTTTTCAAAGCAAAACACTTTTAGTCATTGCTACAACAAAGGCACAATGACATTAATCTCCCACCTGTACTTCCACCAGTAAAAATGCTGTTTAAGATAACCCCTGAGCTGAGGCACTTCCCTTGGATATATTCATTCTCCTCTGATTTTCAGGAGAAATGAGACAGTTTAGGCTAAATCACCTTGGACAGGAATTGCTTCAGCTGCTCCATGTGCTGAGCACTTGCTGCACCAGCACTATCCTGTGACATTATACAGATAACTCTGCCAAAATCCTGTCTGGAGTTTCAGCCCCCTGGAAAAGGAGGATGAGGGATGAAGGGATATGAAAGTCAATGCCTTGGAAAAACCATTTTCTACAAAGATAATTATTTCTTCTTCTTTATCATGTCGTTCCCAGGAAAAGTCTATTGTGCTACTGAAAGAGCTGATCAATGATGCATCACATTTTGGAAGGAGGCAGTGAAAATACTTTGCCATAACCAACACTTTCTGATGAATGAAAAGAAAAATGGGAGAAAGGGAAAAAGGGGGGGAGAAGGAAAAAAGGGGGGAGAAGGGAAAAAGGGG